GTCTATCTCAGGATTCCCAGTTGTCAGTCCTAGTTCTGACTCCACAGGGAGGCCATGCTTTCTGTGATCAGGTGCCAGGAACGTTTCCCAGGCTTCTGATTCCGTGTTTCTGTTTCTTTCTTGGAGAACTCTAAATGTTCTTCCTTCTTTCAACACATAGGGTACCTCTGTTGTTTCTGCTCATCACCCCCCTTTCCCAGAATCCATGCGTTTTGAAGACTGTCTTTAACTTCTGTCTGCCCCTTTAAGTCCCCTTGTAAGCGTTACAGTTCAGACGGAAAGCTACCCTGGCAGTTGGGAGCCAACGAACACCACAAAGTCACACCACACAACAAACATCACACAAGAGATTTATTGGGAGGGAAAAACTGGGAGAGTGGCTGCCTCTGCTCAGGAGAGAGACAGCAAGAGACTGAACCAAATACAGGGTCTATATAGGGTTTCTTAGGGGCGGAGCTTTCCAGGGTGGGGATTGGTGGGCTCTCAAGTCGAGAGCTTGGGACAAGTAAGAGATTGGTGGGATTTCAATTCCCGAGCTTGGTGAGATTCTGTGGTCAGACTCTGGGCCAAGCTCAGGGATTGGTTGGATTTTGTGTTTAGGGATTGGTGGGATTTTGTGGCCAGAGCTTGGTTAGGGGTAGGGTGTTTTTCCTTGGCTCTGGTCTCGGAGCCAGGGTGTTTTTTCACTGGCCCTTTTCTCCCTACACCCCTGTGTTTTTAAATTTGCCCCCTTAATCCTCCTATGGCCATTTTAAAGGACCTGTCGTGAACTCTTGTTCCACCCAGGATCCATTATTACCTGCTTCTGTTTTCGTACACTTTCCTTGGGAGGTCAGTCAGTCTGCTGCCTGTAGACATTTGTAGGAGTGAGGAAGGCAAAACTTGACAAATTGTGCTAAGGTTTTATGACTGCACTCTTTTTTCACAGCTGTTTCGAAGAATGCTTATACTTTTCATTCCCTGAAGGCAGAGAGACTTGTTTGTGTGTATATGCTTCTCCTCGTTGCTTGTCATCACACGGGGAAGGAGGTTTGGAGGCAGGGAGTTAGGGTGCTTCTATTATTTCCAGGTACCTGGAAAGCTAATATAAAGAGGCAAATGCTCTGAGCCCTCCCCCGGAAGCGTTAATAACCTCGAACAGTACTTCCCAAACTCTCCGTTGACTTCAGAATTCTTAATTACGTTAGATCGGGATTGGTGGAGTGACATGGAAATGAAAGACAGCAGGCAAATGTTGACAGAAGCAGACGTGTTCTTTAATCCTAAAAACTGAGGGGACACAGTGCCTCTGCAGAAGGAAGACTGTGCTCACATGATGTGGGGAGTTTGGGGTTTCATAGGATGGGAAAGGGGGAAGTTTGGGCATGGAAGAGTCCCATCTGCAGGTCAGCTCCCCTGCAGTCAGGGGGTGGCAGATACCAGCGGTTTAATGTGCGCATCTCCTGACCAGAGGCTTCCTTGGGGTGTTATCAGTCAAGGTAATTTTCCTTCCAGAGCTTCTCAGGCCACCTGAGGTTTTACGTCATTAATTCTTCAGATTATATAGAATACTTAAATTTCTAGTTGATTTTTTTAAAAAACTATGTATGGATATTTTGTCTGCATGTAGGTCTGTATGCCACTTGTGTGCCTGGTACCTGCAGAGGCCAAACAAGGGTATCAGGTCCCCTGGAAGTGGAGTTACTGATGGTTGTGATTGGCTGTGTGGGTGCTGGGAATTGAACCTAAGTCCTTTGGAAGAGCAGCAAGCTCTCTTGTCCCCCACACCCCCCCCCCGCCTTAAAACAGGGTTTCTCCTTTGTAGCCCTAGCTGTCCTAGAACTTGTTCTGTAGACCAGGCTGGCCTCGAACTCACAAGATCCACCTGACTCTGTCTTCCAAGCACTAGGATTAAAGGCATGCGCCACCACTGCCCAGCAACAAGCATTCTTACCTCCTGAGCCTAGCATCCATGTTGGGCGGCTCACAACTCCAGTTCCTGAAGGACCTGACACCCCTGGCCTCTAAGGACACCCACGCTCATGTGCACATACCCACATTCAAACATACATTAATTAAAAGGATAAATCCTTTAAAAATTAAAAAAAACTACTTTCTATTTAAACAACTGTAGAGTCTAATAACAGTATTTACAAAGTCCTACAATGTCATGTGGAGGGCAGATGTGTTCAGTTTCTCAGTCGGGCCTTAACAGATGTCTTGTTACTACTGATACCTTTGACACTGCTGTAATTGACTCGCATGCCATCCCTCCTCCCCTTTAGATGGCTGTCATGTGGTTTGGCCTGGAACAGTCTCTGTCCTCACTCTAGCCTGCCTCACCCCTTCCCTGAGCCCACAGTTCCCAATTATATCGATACTGCATTCGATTCCCAAATGTGACCACGCAGCTCAGGTTTTGGATTCAAACTGATGTCTGAATTCTTTGTGGGTTGCTTCAGCTTGTTTGCATAAGCCGTGCGGTTGCTGCTAATCTCGTCAGCAGAGAGGGGCATGTGGAAAGAGGGGATAAGAGAACCACATCCTGGAGCGTGTCGTCACATATCCGTGCGGCAGGAGCAGAGACCCGCTGCCGCAAATCCAGATGCGAGTTCATGTTTTCACTGAGAGCCCAGGGGCTCTGCAGAGCTAATATCATATTGTTCTTTCAGAACAGGATCCTCTGAGCCTCATCCCAGAAGCCTAAGTCTGCCATAGACTGGCCCCAGCGACCATCAGGCAAAGGCCATGCTTGTCAATTACCATCTGAACTGAGGGACCCATTGCGCAGACCTCCTTTGTGCGGTGTTCTTTGTAATCAGATTCACGGGTCCCAGTGCCAACCAGGGCTGCTGTGAAAGGGATTTAACAGGACCTGTGGTGAAATCTGATTGGTTCACTTATGCTACCTCACAAACTACCCCCAAACACTTGATGATCTGAAACAAGAGAGACCTCATTAGCTTTTCTTCTGTGGGCGAACACTTTCAGGTAGGCCAGCTACTTTTCTGGGTGGTTCTCTCGGTTTCTGTTGGGATATGTCTGTGGTCGGCTGTGGACTGGCTCGCTTTCAGTCACCAGCCGTAGAGACAGAGAAACATGCTAGCTCAGTGTAATCCCAGAACGAGGTAAATTGAAGTTGGGCTTGTAGCTAGTTAGAATGATGGTGCGGAAATTCAATGGGATGGCTCTCGCTAGTCTGCAGGCGGCATCACTGACTGCCACCCAGCCCGTGCCCAGTGATGTGATCATGGTTCAGAGATCCCTGGGAGAGTACTTCCAGAATCCTGATGGGATGCAGATAATGGAACAATGGAAGTAAGTTCCCAGGGATCCAGAATGACCTTCTCCGGCTGGAATGTCTATCATCAGGAGGTAGTGAATTTCCCACTACTAGCAATACCCAGAGCGCACTGGAGAGTCTATAACTAACCCAGGTTCTACTTTTAAGAGGGCTAGCTTGACAGACAGCGATGTCAAAAGTACCTGGGTCTTCATCCCCCAAAATCAAGATGGTGCTGATGGGCTGGGCCGCCAAGACACACTTCAAACATCCTATGATATCATTCTCTGTCTCCCCACTAAAATACAACACCAGGGTTCAGGGCAGAGCGCTTCCACCTCCAGAAGCTCTGCCTCCCAAGCTAGCCTATGTTCTCAATTTGGTTACGGCCTCTCTTCCCATCTCACCGAGTACCTTGTGTCCCTTTTCACCATACTTGGACTGCTCTCTGCCCCAGTTCATGCACTTACTCAGTCCTCGTCTACTTCCGACCCTATTAGCTGGGACTTGCCTCAGCTCCGACCCCTGTTCACAGTTCCCTTGTTTCAGCAATCTTTTCGCTTGATCTAACCAACGGCAGGCCTCGGCTTCCTTTTTATAAGCTCCTCAACATCCCAGACAGAGACAAGCTATGGAGAAGAGGGGACACGTTTGTAAACAGAGAAGTCTGGGAAACAACTTGGTGTCCACTTCAGTTGGGAAACATCCTTCTGTGGGCATGGGAAAGTCTTGTTAGATTACTGCTAAGTTTTTTTTCAAAGGCAGTTTCGAAATCTCAATTTTGTTTTTGTGGGTTTTCTGCTTATAAACGTGTTTATACTGGGAGTGTAGCTTTTTGGTAGACACCTTGCCTACACTCACGAGGCCCTGGGAGAAGTAGGTATATACATATATATATATCCTCAGATGTCATCTGGGGTTTCCCTGTCCCTTAGACTCCAGCTCAAATCTGCATAGGCAGCAGATCTTTGAAGTCTATCTGAGATCGTGCATTCCCAAGGGCTCACCCTCTCCGGCCTCCTATGCCTTGGGGCTTTTGCTTCTCTTTGCTCTATTTACCTGCGTGGGTAAAGTTTAACTGCTTCTTCCAGTTCATCCCCAATCACTCCTACCAAGATCTAATAAAGCAAGACAAAGTGAGTATGTGTGTAGGGGGGGTGGGGGCAACATCAGGAAGCCTCTCCCCACAGGTTCAGACTCCCCATAACCAGCCTGTGTAGTGGGACTATCCTGAGTGCTCCTGATGTGAGCTGGCTGGTAAAAATGGCACAGTCGTGCGGAGCTAGCTTTGGAGCAGCCAGTCCAGGCTGTCTACATGTCCCAGCAGGAGTGACTATGTCAGTGTTGTCTCTAATCAGAGTCCTGGGAGCAGGGGGTCCTAGATTGTCCATGCTCTAAAGTTCTGTGGGAACGAACTGTGGATGTCCAAATTTCTCAGAGGCCTGAGAAATGGAGGAAGGGAAAAATACAAGACCCACAGGGGAGGGTGTGAAGGAAGAGCTATCATTTCACTCAGACCTCAGGGAACAAGCAGGTCCTCGGTACTCATAAAAGTCTCCTGCCAGAGTGACAACCAGGCAATGTCTCTTCGTAAATCTCTCTCCCAGGCGACAGCTGTTTGTTTGTATTGAAGTGGGAACATGATAACAGAGCTATAAGTAGCTCTGTGCTTTGCTGTGCAAGGTAGGGTGTCAGAGCAACTGAACTGGATCCCAGCAGGGAGAAGCTGAGGTTCCTGGCTGCCTAGGAAGAGGGCTGGCTGGCTGGCTGGCTGGCTGGCTGCCTGGAGGACCAAGCTGATGTGGGCAACTGGACTGATCAAGCTGCTGGAGCCACCCCGATCTTCTCATGGTGAGTAATATGACCTGGGCCCCACTTTCTGCTGGTGCAGCCGGTGGACTGATGACCAGGGCCGTAGCAGGCAGGGCATAAACCTCTCATCCGTACTGGCTTCTTGGCTCTTGCCCCAGAGAAGCACCTTGCAGGCATGAGACTAACTGTGTGAGGCTGGCCCTTGGTCCAGCTCCTTCATGCTAAGAGATGCTGGGGGAAATCATTGACACCTCCCAAGCCTCAGTTCTTCACAGATGAAAGGAAGTAGTAGAGAAGATGACCTTCATATTTTCCCAACAATTCCATCTGTATCCGGAGAAACTCCAGAATTTATCAAATGTTTGAAATGCACCAAGGAAAAAGAAATTTTATATATATATATATATATATATATATATATATATATGATATTAATTCACTGACATAGCCACAAAGTCCAGCAGGTTACATGTAGTGCTGTCCCAGGGCAGGTGGGGCTGGAAAACCTCCCTATGTCTCTGTCCCATCATGGATGCAGTTGCTCCCAAGTAGCTTCATCTCTGGTTCTCCAGTTCCCCTCTTCCCCACGCCTGCACAGCCCAGACTCACAGTCCCGGCTGCAGTGGTGTTCTCCATCTGACCCACCCATGTGAAGCTCCTGTATAGTTGTTCTCGTCCACACTTCTAAGTTCTATTTCTCATCAATGAGACAGAATAATTGGCAGAAGCAGCTGAGAGAATCTAGTTTGGATTGGCATCAAGGATATTGATCCATGGTAATGGCGAGACATGGGAATGGAAGCATGTGCGTGGCTTGCTCACATCAGAGTGGATCAGAAGGCAGAAAGATGGATCTGTAGCTATATAAGCATCCAATGTCCATGAGTAGCCATACTGAGGATTGGCCTGAGTCACTAGCCATGCAACGATTTCAATATAAATGGCTTGACAAGAAGCTTCTGAAAGCATTTACTTTCTCCTCCTCAGGCCTATACTGTTCTTTCCCATAGTCAACCACTTTTTTCAGCTAGTGCACAAGTTAGTTAGCTGTGCTTTGTGCTTTGTGCTTTTTTTGTGTGTGTGTGAACTTTTCCTAGTGTGATGAGCTAGTAGTGTTTATAGTTCACAACTTTAGTGTTTGGGGGAAAGCTTCATTTTATACAGGAATTTGCTTGGAGGTTCCAGAGACCCACTGTTACTAATCAGTCCACGGTTCACTAACTGTCTGGCTTCACTGAGCGGTGGTGGTACACACCTTTGACCCCAGCTACTGGGAGGCAAAGGTAGACGGATCTCTCACTCTCTACAGAGCAAGTTCCAGGATAGCGAGGGCTACGCAGAGAAACCCTGTCTCAAACAACAACAACAACAACAACAACAAAACAAACACACAATCCAAAGTCTGATTCTTTGAGAGCTTTATTGGAGTGAGCTCACCATAGCCTGGTGAGGTAGGTAATATCATGATGCCCATTTAGAAATGACAAAACTGAGTATGGAGAAGCTGACGTACCAGAGTTTACATACCATGTGAGTAGTGGAATTGGTGGTCTCCATGCTGAGGGACTCTGTCCCTTCTACTGCCTTCAAAGTGAAGCTGTCCTGAAGCCCCGTCCCTCATCAATCATAAAGGACACAGCTCCAGCGCCTGGGGTAGTCGCTGAAAAGATCGTGTTATAGTTTAAATGTGAAATAACCCCACCCCCATAGGGTCATGTATTTGAGCACTTGGTCCCTGATAGTAGAATTGTTGTGGGAGGTATGGAACTTCCAGGAGGTTGGACCTTACTAAAGGAAGTGGGCTGCCTGCGAATGGGCCTTCCACCTACAGGTCCAGTCTCTGCTTTCTGATTTGGTGTGAGCAAGCTCCTGTTGCCACAGAGTTTAGGGTGGAGTCGCCCTGTGAATGGCAGCCATGCATTGCCTCCCGTGAAACTTCAAGCCACAACAAAGAAATCCGTCTTACACATAAGTTGTTCCTGCTCTGTATTTTATCACAGTAAGGAATGCAACCAGCACGCATGGTCTGTGTTCATGTGCTTTCATTCACACTGGCAAAGGTAGCCCCGGGTGCTTGATGGTGGTCAGGGCAGGAGTCAGAGGTGGTATCTAACAACCACAGTTAATGGTGACTGTTGGCTGTGTCCAAGGGGAATGGTGGCACCAACCGTGGTCACAGCAGCCACCACTAAGTTAACAAAAGTAAATGTCCAGTCAGGTCTATTCTTGGTGTGACCTTAGTAATGGACAGTGACTCAGGTCAATGAGTGTGGCTCATTTTGCTCCCCAAGATTCCCTTGTCTGAATGCGCCAGCTGTCTGCATCGCTGGAGTAAGACAGAACCCAGGGGCCTTACCCAGGAGCCAGGAGCAGTTATCAGGGGCTGATGCCCGTTACCCGGTGACCCACTCATGGCCCTCCTCAGAGTAGCCACATATTATGTCCAAGGGGGAACAACTGCAGCTCTGGTCAAGCTGAATACCCTGATCTGCTTGACAACCAGCTTTCTTATTCCAGGCCACAATAGGCACTTGGCTTTATGGTAACAACCCTGTGTGTGCCAGCCTATGAGGTCCAGTAATGTGGTTGTTTTGTTTTTTTGTTTTGTTTTCCCCTGAGATACAGCATGTCAGTAAATTCTGCCTTGTGATGAATCTATAGAAGCATATGCCCCCTATGGGCAACTGTCTCATGTGTGGTTGAGATACTCTGAGGAAATACCTCCCATGCTCATGCCCTGGGAAGAAAGGGTCATAGGGGAGGATCAAAAAGTCCTGCCTCCCCCAGAGAACCTAAACAACAAAAAGGACCCCAAGAGAGACATACATGGATCTAATCTACAGGGGAAGTAGAAAAAGATAAGATCTTCTGAGTAAATTGGGAGCATGAGGATCATGGGAAAAGGTAGAAGGGAAGGGGGAGAAAAGGAAGGGAGTGGAGAAAAATCTATAGCTCAATAAAAACAATTTAAAAAGCAAAAAAAAAAAAAAACCACTCCCACCCGGAATTCTAGTTCCACCTTTAGGTAGGGTTCCCACCCTTTGGCCACATCTGACTTTAGTGAGTTTCTGGTTCCTCACCTGCTGAAGAGCAATAATAGTTCTGACCGTATAGGTTGGCTACAAAGATTATACATGAACCAAACATAGTACCAGGATTATGCCCTCAGCAAATAATAACTGTTCAAGATGAGCCACCTCCCTTCAATAACAGTCATAATGATAAAATGTTGGCAGAGCTTCTCTGTGTTTCAGCATTTGCTCCTATATAACCACATAGAAATGTCTTATTAATTATAAATGCTCAGCCAATAGCTCAGGCTTATTAATAGCTAACTCTTACAACTTAAATATATATGTATGTATATGAATATATATCCATTTATATTAATCTATATTCTGCCACGTGACATTATCTCTCTTTCATCTTGTACCTCCTGTTTCCTCTGATGTCTGACTGGCGGCTTCTCTGACTCCTCCCTTCTTCTTCCTCCCAGTGTCCTTAGTCTAGTTTTCCCGCCTAACCTTATCCTGTCCAGCTATTGGCCAGTCTGCTGCTTTATTAAACCAATCATGGCAACATATATTCAGACAGTGTAAAGGAATATTCCACAATAAAAAGCTTCTAGTCCTGGGTGCCTTGGGTTTTCAGCTCCAGGGTAACTAAAGCAAGAGGAAGCCTACTTGTGTCTGACTAGGACAGTTGGTTCTTTGACCCGAATCTTCACATGGGCAACACATTCCTGTTGATTAGTTTTAGCTGCTTGACACAACCTAGAATCACCTGGAAAGGAGGAATTACTACATCAGGTTGACTGCTGGCGTGTCTGTGTGGGATGGTCTTGATGTTTAATTGAGGTGGGGAGATCCCCATGAATGTGGGCGGTGCTGCTCCCTAGACTGCTGGTCCTGAACAAAGTGCACCAGGAGGAACTGAGAAGGAGCAGCAAGGATCTCAATCCTTGTGTTTATTCTCTCTCTCTCTCTCTCTCTCTCTCTCTCTCTCTCTCGCTTTCTCTCTCTCTCTCTCTCTCTCTCTCTCTCTCTCTCTCTCTCTCTCTCTTTTCTTCACTGGATGTGACACTTTGATTTCTTTCCTGCCTTGCCTTCCCTTCACTAATGGAGTGGAGCCTGGGATTGTAAACCAGATAAATTCTTCTCCTTAGCTGCTTTTAGTCAGGGTTGTTTATCATAGCAACAGAAATGAAACTAGAACATTGTGTCAAAGGCCTAGGTGTTGCCTGAGTACAGGACGCAGGTCCAGATTTGGGGCTGGTGCTCATTTCTCAAGAGCAGTTGCCGGCAGCATGGTTCTGGGCAAGGTGCCTGGGGGTATTTTTTCATTTTTTGCACGTCTGTCTTGTCCTCCCCAGCCTCTTCTCTGTCCCTTTAATCTTCCAGCACCAGGACCAAGCGGGCCCAGACAATTACCCAACTCCACTCTCCCCTGCAAAGCCCCACTTTCTCATATCTTCTCTGTTCCAGGCCAGGTCCTCTGTGTCTTCACCAGTTAAACGCCTGGCACTTTATACACTAGCAGCCCCCGTAAGCAGTTAGCAGTGTATCCGGAGACCTCTAGACTACTGAAGCCAGTGAGTTCAGATGTCTGATCTGCCCCACTCTGAGCCCTGCAGGTCTTCTCTAAGGCTTTTTATAATAATAATAATAATAATAATAATAATAATAATAATAATAATTCTTTGGCTTTGTTTTTCCAAGTGTCTTCAAATTTCTTCTTTTGATAGATTCCAAATTCTGTTTGTATATTAAGCTCATAAGGTTCAGTGCTGGGGATATGGCCATATTTGGAGACACAATCCTGAAGAGGGGCTTATAGTAAAATGAGGCCATACTGGTAGGCCTTAATCTACAACTTGACTGATGTTCTCATAAGCAGCAACTGAGAGACAATCATGGAAAGGCATTGGAAGAGGACAGATGTCTCCAGGGCAGAGAGAGGCATCCCAAGCAAGGCACCCGTACCAAGAGAGGGTAACGCACTGCTGTGTTTACCTCTACATCCGTGGCATTCCCTACGTTCACCTCAGGCACTCAGCCATGGTTCCCTGCCCAGAGCTGACCCTTCATGGCTCTGGGCCCTGAACCCACTCACATTCTTGGAGAAATCTTGAACACTAACTGAACACTCACACCTTTTGAGTATGAGCTGGAGATCTGGGGGTCAGTGACAAGGAGTCATGTCACCAAAATACATGGAACTGAAAACTGGGCACTGAGCATGCCCCCCCCCCCTTTCAGAGCCCTGCGTACCTCAGAGCTGGCCAGTTTCTTGCTTCCCCCTTCCTTCAGGAGCAGTCTCCCACTCCTTCCACTTCCCGTTGTCTAGCTTTCACTGGGTTTAACATCTGTTCAAGATTCCCTTCTTCATCCGCCACTGCTCGTCCAAGACCTTTGCTTCATAGGGTTTTTCTCTAGCCTGGAAAAATTCCCCTGTCATTTAAGAGTTCTTTTTCCCCATTTTTCTGAACCTTGACATCTGATAAACACAACAGAAACAATCTTCAAACCTCTCCCCCCAATGCTAGAATTCCTCCCCCGCCCCAACTATAGATTACACAGAACCCTACAATGTGAAATACAGCTTTACGAGAACTATAGGCAGGCATGGCAGTGTGCACCTTTGATGCCAGTGCTTGGAAGGTGCAGGCAGAAGAATCAGGAGTTCAAGGCCAGCCTGGGCTGCATAACCACCCGGAACTACAAATCTCAAAAACTCAAGAAAATAGTTGTGATGAAATTCAGGTAACATAAATTTACACATTTAATTTTTAAGCAAGCAACTCAGTAAAACCATCTGTACACATACTGTTCCAGGGTTTCACTGGTAGAGTTACTACCTCTAATTCTAGAATATTTTATTTAAATATTTTTTAAAAAATTTTATTTATGTTTTGCCTGTATGTATGTCTGTGTGAGAGTGTTGGATCCTGGAGTTACAGACAGTTGCGAGCCTTCATATGGGTGCTGGGAATTGAACCTGGGTCCTTTGGAAGAGCAGTCGGTGTTCTTAATCACTGAACCATCTCTCTAGCCCCTCTAGAATACTTTTATCACACCAAAATAAATCCCTGCACCCAACCATTCAGCTGTTCTATTCTTCCCCTAGCTCCTGGGAACCACATCTTCTCTTTCTGTCCCTGTGGATTTGTCAATTCTGTCAATATAAACAGAGTCACCCGATGTGTGGCCTACTGTGTCTGTCTCCTTTCACTTCTCAACACTTTGGACACTTAACAGAGCGGTATCATGAACCAATGCTTTCTTTTTATGGCTGAATAATATTCCATTGTGCAGTTAGAAAGTTGGTGATCTGGGCGCATGCCCACACACACACACACACACACACAATTCTGCTCTATTCAAATGCAAAATGGACTCTCAAGCTCTTTGGGCCCCAGTTCTCCCCAAGAGGGGCCTTCAACACCTCCAGGGAGTGTGTAGTATTCACCTGGTACCCAGGGATCCTTGAACAAAATGCCCATTTGTTTCCCTGAATGGGTTCTCTCTGGTCACAGGGTCAGAGCCTTCTGCAGGTACTTTCTTTCACTGGAAGTAAAAAATGAAAGAATCATGGGAGTAGAATCCAGTGGGTGGGAGTTTGTCTGGGTGCCTGGGGCTCTATCAGGTCTGTAGGTCTCCTTCACCCCAGAGGGCAGGCAGCCTGCCTATCAGCAAATCCAGTCACACAGTGCTTTTTTTTTTTTTTTATGACTTCACTAGTTGAAACCCAAGCCACGCCTGGCTAAGTTCATTCAGCACACACCAAGCGTGCCAGACTGCCACGTCATCCGCTTTCCACGAGTTTTCTCTGTCTTCCCATAGTATCTGCGGTGGAATTTCCCCAGGTGCACACAAGAAGCTCTGTGAACACGTGACTTCTTTCTAGAAAGAGATCTGTTCCCTGATCTCGTGCACAAAAGCAAGCAAGGCTAGGCGTGACCAATCAGAGGGCAGGGGCAGCTTTGGTTAGAATAAGCCGGCTCAGAAAGGAGCCTCTGCTAACTAACGTCACCAAGGGGAAAATGCTCGGCAGAGAGGCCCTGGGAGGGACCAGCTGGGAGGTGCAGAGTCTCAGGCAGGAAGGCTTGGATAAGCTCAGCCACAGCCCAGGTATGAAACCAGCTGGTCGGTGACAGCACCAGGGTGGGGAACGGTCGTTCGTCCAACTGGAGCAGGGCTCAGTTTAGACCTCACTGGGTTTTGAAAGGATAAGGAGAAAGTCCAGTTGTTGAAAAGCAAACTTTCCGTGGGCTGAAACCTCCAAAGTTCAGACTATCCCCGAAGGTAAGTGGAAAAAGAGATAGGGCACCTGCCTTTCTGGCCTGGGCCAGCTGAAGGATGCCTGTCCTGTAGTCCCCAGAGGAGGGCTCTGATGTGACTCTGCCATCTTCTCTTCGCCATCTCAGAGTCATGCTGTGTCAGAAGTTTTGCCGTTTGCTTTTGCCTGTTCAAAAAGCCAGCTCAGCATTTGGAAGGTGGAGGCAGGAGGATTGGGCCATCCTTAGCAACACTGAGTTTGAGGGAACTTTGGGAGGGGGGAACTTTTATGGTTTTTAATAAAATTATTAAATATATTTAGTGAATGAGTATCAAAAATTAATATTATACCCGGGCATGGTGGTGTATGCCTTTAATTCCAGAGACAAGCAAATCTCTGCAAGTTTATGTCCAGCCTGGTCTACATAGTGAGTTCCAGGACAGCTAGTGATGTGTAGAGAGACCCTGTCTCAAAAAGGCTAAAAAGGAAAAAAATTAAAATTACAATGGACCATGTGAAATTTAATGCCATGTATTTTAGCCTAGTACATACAAGGAATCTAATAACTGATTAAGGAATAATGATTCTAGCAACATTATTTGCTTATTAGGAGTCTTTTAAAATGAACAAAAGAAAAATAAATGGTACAGATCAATTTTAAATAAATGACTTTTTTCATTCTACAACTTAGTATGTGGGGTGAATACTCAAAACAAATTGTCTAAAATTATTGATAAACTATATTCTCTTAATTTAACAGTTAGGAACAAGAGACTTGTGCACGAGGGTGACATTACTGCCATTTCATCAGTTTTGAGGTATTTTATTTTATCCGTGCTGGGATTGGACCAAGGTCTTGTGTATTCTAGACAAGGGCTCGCTCACTGAGCCACATTCCCAGGCTCCAGATTCATTTAATTGGGCCTGCTCATAATACTTACATTTTATTGATCTGCGATTGTTCAGTACGCATAGCATGGATAGGTTACTCCATCAATGTTGGTTGAATAACGAAGCAAACCAATTGGTTAATTTTAAGTTTTGTTTTTAAAATTAATTCATTTTAATTTGTGTGTGTGTGTGTGTGTGTGCACATGCACACAACCATGCCGGAAGTCAGACTCCTGCTATATAGTTCACTTGCAGAGGTCAGAGGACAACTTTCAGGAATCCTCACCACCTACCGATCAAGGCCAGCAAGGTCTGGTTTCTGGGCTGTGTCCTCCAGTCTAGCTGACCTGCAAACTCCCTGCCATTCTTCTGCCTCTGCCTCCCATCTTGTGGCAGGAATGCTGGAATTACAAATGCAGGCAACCCCATCTGGCTTCCTACTTGGCTTTTGGGGTTTGAACTCTGGTCCTCCACACTCCTTCAGACTGGTGTTCTTCGAGGCACCGGCTTTAAAATGCATCTGATTTTTTTTCCCCTCAAAGTTTCTGTGGTTTAATTTCTCCATGAAGAAAATAAAGGAAAGGTTTCAGCTTGGTCCCTGAATTCTAGTGTGTGATACCAGGCAAAGGGCAGGACCTCTCTGTGCAGGGCACATTTTAGCTAGGAGGATTGTCAATGCTGTCCCCGAATGCCCCACAGCACGATTTCTATTTGTCTTGGCAGCTTCATAAGAGTATTTATTCCTAGCCTGGCCCCCAAGATTCCTATTTTTCTCAGCAAGGAGCCCGGCTCTGCTTTCTTTAAAGACATACACAGAAGTGAAGCTGCGCTCATGAGACTAGTGTTCAGAGGGAAGAACAACCACAACCATGTTGTTGGAGAGAAGTAGATTTTCCGCCTCCTAATGCTTGGCAGCGGGCTGCACTGTCATCCAGAGCAAGAAAGCAGCCGCACTGACTTTCCAAACTGCGTACAATTGGAAACAGAAAATCCTCCTGGGAGCGGGGTTCCCCAGGCTTCTTGGCATTAAGGGGAGCCTTTTGTGTTCGTTTGTGTTTGTGCATATGTGTGCACGCTGGCGTTCACTCAGACTCAGGAACAAACTTGCCTGTCAGAAGCTGCCGCCAAGCCTGGGTGGGGAGTGAAAGCGGCAGCCCGCTCTGGGAAAGAAGTCTGGGTGGCATGTTGCAAAAGAGAACCCAAAGTGATTTTCCATGATGTGGCTGAAGAGATAAACATTTACCATTGTCTGGCTCTGAGTTTGGGGAGATGCTCAGAAGAGAGAGACCTCAGCTCTCCTTCCACTTCCCAGATGTTTATGCCCTTTCATTTTTTCCAGTCTCTCTGACACCCTTCTGAGGGACGCTGGGCACCCTGAGTCACCATGGGCAACGAGAACAGCACCTCGGACCACCAGGTGGGTTCAGGAGGCTTCTCCGCCTCCTGCTGCACAGCTCTCTTGATTACACTGGCCCCCAACATCTGTGTCCAGCGAGAGGCAAGGGAAGACACAGCCCCCTGGATACGTGTGATGTATCTGTACCTGTGGGGCCATTTCGCCTCTACATCCTCAGCCGTCCCTTAGCACGACAGCTGGCCCCATTTCACAAGTCATGACCACTACTGTTTATCCTGTGCTTTTAAAATTGATGTAATGAGAGCTGAGCACATCTCCAGATTGTATCTACTCAGCAGCTTCTGTGGACATGGCAGAGATTAAAAGGATTTGCACATGTTTGAATGCAGAGCTGATTTAACGCAAAGTTGTTTCCAAGTCAGAAAAGGTTTTCACAGTCGAAGAATGGACTTTTAACTATTTTATTGAGTAGTATGTATCCAAATGTTGTCATTATCCATTTTAAGTTTGAGAATATTAGCTTAATGCCCTGGTGAACGAAGTCAGAGACCTTCTCATTGACTCCCACCGTGCGAACATTTTGGATTAACGGTTATGGGCCTCTTTGATTGAAGTCATCAGATTTAAAAAGCAGCCTGGGGCTGGGAAATATTTTTGTTGTTGGAAGTGTGTGCTACCCAAGTATGTGAACCTGAGTTTAACCCTACAGAACCTACATATAAAGCCAGGTTCAATGGCATGCAGGTTTAATCCCAGCACTGGTGAGGTAGAGACAGGAGGATTCCCTGGAGCTCACTAGCCAATCAACTTGGTAGAATGGAAAAGTTTCAGTTTCAGTGAGAGATCCTGTCTCAAAACACAAGGTGATGGCACCTGAGGAACGACGTTCAGAATTGAATACCCTGCACACACCTGAGAACGCACACACACACACACACACACACACTTAAAAATAAACACAAGACAGTCTATTGCCAATTGTTTTCTCACTTCCTTCTTTCAAACAATCTTCTCCCAAGCAGGGAAATAACATGAAAAGATAAAAGTGGCAAACTAGGGATTTTAGGGGACAAGCAAGAAGCAAGAACTGTGACAAACAGGTGGCTCTGGCCTAATGGAGGCAGCCACTACCCACTCCAGCTGACTGTGGTCGTGGGCAAAAGTGGGCCTAGTGCAGCAGGATTTTATTTGTTCCAAAGAAGTCAGAAGACTATGGTTATCGATAAAGTCTTTAGTGTTGTTTTTTTAATGCATTTTATTTATTTAGTGCGTGTGTCTGTGTGGAGGCACACACATATCACAGCTCATGTGGGGAGGCCAAAGGGCACCTTATGGGAGTCAGTTCTCTCCTTCTACCATGTGGGTCCTAGAGAGCAAACTCAGGCCTTTCTTCAAACTCACCAGCTAGTGTCCTTGCCTACTGAGCCATCTTGTTGGCTCTTACATTTCCCTTTAGCCTTTTAATTTAAGATAATGGTAAATCTATGTATAGTTTAAAAAATACAAAGAGAGAGTTTTAAGGGTAGCATCTTACATAATTATTCTATAGTTTCACAGTCTAGACATTGAGATGCCCAGGTCAAAGAGCCCTTCCATAGCCAGATTCCTCTTGTTGCCCCTTATAGCCACACCTACTTCTCTCCTGTCTACCACCCATAACTCTGGCTACTGACAATAGTACAGTTTTATCATTTCAGGAATATTATAGAAAGAAGGTCTGTGATAGTCTAAATGAAATTGGCCCCCATAAGCTCATAGGGAGTGGCACTATTAGGAAGTATGACTTGGTTGGAGTACATATGCCTTGTTGGAGGAAGTATATCACTATGCAGGTGGTGGGCTTTGAGGTTTCCTGTGCTCAAGATACCACCCAATGTAGAAGACCACTTCCTGTTGACTTCAAGTCAGCATGTAGCAGCTTGTTCTCCAGTACCATGTCTGCCTGCACACTGCCATGCTCCCCACCATGATGATAATGAACTAAACTTTTGAAACTCTAAACTACCACCTCAGTTATATGTTTTCCTTTGTAAGAGTTGCCATGGTCATGGTGTCTCTTCACAGGAATAGAAACCCTAGCTAAGACAGAGTCAGACAGCATGTTATCTTTTAGAAATGACTTTTTTTTTAGTGGGCAGAATGCTTTTGAAATACACCCATGCTGTTGTGCAGCAGAGTCTGTTCCCTGTCACTATACAGTTTTCAGGTCATTCCCCCATCAGAGCATCTTTGCTTTGTTTCTAGTTTTTGACTATTCCAAATGAAGTTGTCATGTGCATTTATGTTCAGGCACAAATGCACAAGCACACACTCCGTGTGTGTGTGTGTGTGTGTGTGTGTGTGTGTGTGTGTGTGTGTGTGTATTCATTTTCATTTCTCTGAGATAAGTACCCAAGTGTTCAATTTCTGGCTCCTATAATGATTGCATGCTTAGTTGCATTGTCAAACCGTTTCCCAGTCTCTGTGGCCCCCAGTCACCATGATTTCTGGTCACTATGCCTGCTTCCCTTTTTCTCGCAGTACACTATGAAAGATCAGTTTCCCTGCATCTGAGAAGCATCGGTAGAACTCTTAGAATGCCTTGCTCTGAGCTGCAGGGGTGGGAATCAGGCACTGAAGACGCAATGCATGCTACATAGGCCACTACCCGTTAGTCACTTAGAAGCAGTCTCAGGTTCCAGACCAACCGTACTGTAATGTTTGTTTTCAAGCTGCCTGTCCACAGCAGCTCAGATCGACACCACAGTGCCCACCATGCACCTACCCCCCTCCCAGCATCCCATAGGCAATATTACATCATCATATCAGGGTGCACACAGCACAATAAGATGCTTGAGACCTGGAGAGAGGCGAAGAACACTTGCTGCTCTTGCAGAGGATAAGAATTTAGTTTCCAGCACCCTCGTCAGGTGGTTTACAAACGCCTTGTAATTCCATATCCAGGGTATCCCAGTACCCTCTTCTGGCTTCTTTGGGCATCAGCACTCACATTCACAAATAGAGACATACAGACACACCCGCACATACACACACTCATACACACACAAGTAAGTTTTTAAAAAGATGTTTGAAGAAAAAAAAAAAGAAACCAGTCATGCCATTTACTATAGCATGCTGTCTTGTTTTTTTTTGTTTTTTTTGTTTTTTAGTCATTGTTATCTTCTTTGTTGACCACTTTGTAAGCAAAGTTCAGCAAAGGTCTGTGTGCACAGCAAAGAGCGGAACCAGTGCAGGTTCAGAGCTGCCCACCATTTCTTCCCACCTTGCAGGGTCTAGGAGGGAATGTGGATAAGAGACAGCTAATCTCTTTGGTAAAATACCTTTTGCTCGTTTTCTGTTATTATCATTAGTGTTGTATTTTGGGAGTTCTTTACACAGTCTAGAAGTCAGACTGTAATTTGTAGATGACGTCTTGCTCTGTAACTTATCTTTCCGTCCTCTGAATAATGTCTTGTGTAAAACAGAATATTTTAATTTTAGTGAGGTATAGTATATTTGTTTTTCTTATGGATAGTTCTACTGTTAAATCTGCCTAGCTCCACATCCTGGAGATTTTCCTTTTTCCTAAAATCTTTAAAGTTTGACTTTTTATATTTAAGTCCGTGATTCATGAATTAACTTTTATATGGTACAAGGTCTAAGTTTGAGGCTCATCTTTTTTTCTCTCTGTCTGTCTCTGTCTTTCTCTCTGTCTCTCTATCTCTATCTCTGTCTCTCTGTATCTGTCTCTGTCCCTCTCTCACATACACACACATGCACACACACACAGCCAACAGGTACCCAGGCTGGCCTCGAGCTCCCTATGTTGCTGAGGATGGCCTTGAACTCTTGATCTTCCTGTCTTCACTTCCCAAGTGTTACAATTACAGGTCCGTGCCACCACACCTGACTTTTGATTTCTTTCCTTCGGTTAGTTTTAGTTTCATAGTCATCCTCATGAGCTTCCTCCACCAAAGTGGTGCATTTGATAGAACTGACGCAGATTCAGATTGACACATTTTATCACTCACTGCCCATACATTATGTGAAGATTCTTCTTGATGGCATACATTCTGTGCACTTTGACATACGTAATCACATGCAGTTTACACAATAGTATGATATTCCTAAAATCCTCTTTGCCTGATTTCTCCCCATCCTTCATGCCCTGACAACCACAGCTCTTCGAAAAAAATTCTTATATGTTATTGTCATCAGTGTGTGTGTGTGTGTGTGTGTGTGTGTGTGTGTGTGTGTGTGTGTGTGTGTTTGAGTCTGTGTGCCACAGGACGCCTCTGTGGAGTCAGTTCACACCTTCCACCATTGTATGGACTCTGGGGATAGAATTCAGGCTGCCAGGCATGCATGACAGGTATCTTTATCTCAGGAGCCATCTTGCAGGTCCAACCACAGACCTTTTTATTGTTTCAATGAAGTATCTTCTTCACAATGTCATGTGATTAGAATTACATAGTGTGCAGTCTTTTCTGATCAACTTTTTTGATTTAGCAAAATCTATCTGAAATTCCTATTTCTTTTTGTGGATTGATAGTTCATCTTTTTTTTCTGAATAACATTCTATTTTCTAGATAGAGTTTGCTTAACTACCCAGCACCATCCTGGGTGCTCCCAAGTGTTGCACAAACTTGCAGTGGATATCCATGTTTATGTCTTGTGTGAATATAAGCTGTAGCTCCTTTGAGTAGATATGAAGAAGTGTGGTTGCTCTATCATGTGGTAAGGGAAAGTTTAGCTTTGTAAGAACCCATCCAGCTACCTGCTCCGACTGTTCCTCCATCTCACGGTCCTCCTGTTAACAAATGGACTTCCCCTTGGTTCCCATCCTCCCCGGTGCTCCCCGGGTATTGGCAGTGATCTGGATTGTAGTCACATCGTTACTGGATCTCAGGGACATAGTGGTGCCTCACAGTTCCTTTAGTTTGCTCTTTCCAGATGATATATGGTAAGGAGCATTCTGTCCTATGCTATTTACCTCTACTTGTTTCCTTTGCTGAGTTTTCAAAAACTTGGGCCCATTTTTAATAAGCTTGGTGACTTTTTGTTTTTTTTTTTTTTTTGAG